GAGGATCAAACATTCCCTTGAGCGAATTTGTAGTAACTAAGCTTGCAGAGCCATATTTAGGCTGTGGACGAAATATTACCACAGATAATTTTTTTACTAGCATTTCACTTGCAAAAAAGTTACTTGCAAAGAAAACTACTTTGGTTGGCACTATACGTGCAAACCGAAAAGAATTACCTAAAATTGCGAAAGCCAAGAAAGATAAAATGACACAGTTTTCTACAAAACTGTATAGATCTGAGAATTGTACCCTGACCATTTATAAAAGCAAGCCTAATAAAAAAGTTTTACTACTAAGTACAAAACATAAAAATATAACAATTGAAAAAAATAAAAAACTTGTTCCAGAAACAGTAACCTATTATAATAGCACCAAGTATGGCGTTGATGTACTTGACCAAATGGCCCGAAAATATAGCGTTAAAGCAAGTTCACGCAGATGGCCTCTACAAGTTTTCTACAACATTTTAGATTTAGCAGCTATCAATGCTTGGATTCTGTATAAAGAGACGACTCAAGTAAATATTTCACGAAAAGATTTTATTTTCCAATTGGCTGAAGAGCTAAGAAGTAAATATAGAGAAGAAGTCGAGAACACTTCCATTCCAATGACAGAAATTCATGCTACTGACGCACGGAAGAATTGTCAAGTTCAACAATCATGCAAAAGAAACAGATGTAGAAACCATTGTGCTAAATGTAATAGAAATGTTTGCGGAAAATGTGTTTCAAAAACAGAGTTTATATGTAAAAAATGTTTTCCATGAATTTTTTGATAATAAACATTTCATTTAAATTGATTTGGAACTATTTTCTTTGCAAAAAACTTCAATTTTCTTGTATGAGTCAAATTGGCTCACTTCAGTAAAAATAGGTATATAATCAACATCCGTAAATCTAGTGTTAATGAATTACAAGTGCTTAACCAGTTAATCGGTTAATATTATACGGTTAAGTGATTTATTACTGGAACTGATTAATCATTAATCGAATAAGCCACGGTTAATATCTGAGCTCAACTATTTGTTATTTTGTCGTTGAAGAACATCGAATTGTTGAATTTTTAACAAGATAATTCGATGTTATTTGATTCTGATATCAAAATTTCAAAATAGAGAAGTAACAGGAATTTTAGTCACATTTTAGCCTGTAAAATATTTAATGACAAAAATTGTTGTAAAGTAATCGAGTTTAAATACTCACTCTAATTTAATCGATCAATGATTAATGAATTCCAATAATAAATCGATTAATCATAACCATATTAAATCAAATAGCCGGTTAATCGACTTGAGCAGAAGAATACGGTTTGAACCGTTTAAACAGTTAATCAATTAAACGGTCAACTGGTCTTCGGTTGATTAACCGATTATAATCACGAGTCTTACATTGAATACAGATGCGACTAATTGTCATTAACAAAAGTCCATCGACTATGAAAAACACATCAATGTTAGGAAAAACACATCAATGAAACTCACCACGCGAATATGTGACAATGAAATTCTGAGGATTATTTTGCGCTTTATATTATAATGGACCCATAAACATGTCATGAAGCTCTTATGAGATAGTTTTAAGTCACATTTGCATACTGCTTCGTTATTATCAACTGATGGTGTGAAGTATTGCTACACTTTACTTTTTCCCATTGTAGTCGCTGAATGAGAATCTGATGTAGAGCACTTCGTCTCACTAATACGATTGAAATCGAGCAAGCGTTTTTCTCCTCCACTTACGCGCACTATAGCAACAAATTAGTTCGGGAAATGATAAAGGTCCTGTTCGCGCGAAATGTGCACTGAAATAAAGCAGTTAAAAAACTCGCAAACACATGCATAACGAATAGAACACCAATTTATAGTCGCGCAACGATGAAGTCACGGTACAAGGCGACAAGGAATTGGAACTGCGGTATCGCAGAGCGACCAAAAAATCTGCTGAAGAATCGATCCGATGTAGGCATGAAAAGCCGCAAAGAGTAGGAAAGGCAAGATGCAGAAACACGGCGTCGCAGACAGCCGAAGAGCCGCCTTAGAGTCGCCGCGTCGAAAGGGGCGACGTGAAAATGCCGCGAGAAGCAAAAGACTCTAAGTACAGAAGAAAGAATAAATGAATCAGGGGTAAGAATCTAAAACAGGTATGAACCATAGGGTCTCCAAGCACATTGCTGCGCTGAAATGGTCGACAAGAACCGTGAGCCAGTCAGGTTCCTCAGGCTGCGCAGAAATATTCCACCACGTTCTTACTTGAATTTGCGAAGTTCCAAAATGACGATCCGAGATCGCCCGACTAGCGAGATACCGAAGTAATTTGAAAGACAGTCTCACCATGAAAAAAAAAGAAAACGGCTCGGCTCAATTAGTTGTTCATGTCTTCCCTTGCGATGACAGTGTTCTATAAAGAAGACGCATCGCGGAATTTCGAGGCTCGACTTATTACTCGATTTGTTGCCTTTTGATCATTTTTTCAACACGCATACAAAGCTCTATCTACGACGGCCATATTTACGCAAATAGCCAAAACGCTTTATATGCGTAAGTGATGGAACAAAATATTTGTACCTAGGCTCGAAATCACATCGCTCTTTCGTCTGCTTTTCAGCAGAAAACAATCAACAATGTGAAGATCAAGAATATCAGATCAATAAATGGCATCAATAATATATGGCATGAATAGGTAAGTCGAGAATTTTAACACGGATTGACTCTTCCTTCATATTTTATGATCTGGATATATACAGGGTGTCCGTTATTCAGGTTATTCATGATACATCCTTCACGTGCAGATAGAACTAACAAGTTGCTCACATCAAGTCAGAATAAAATAAAACAGTTCATAGACATAATGAACTGAAAGACTGATATAACGGAGCTGACGAAAAAATTGATTTTTTCGAAGTAGGTTATACATCAGTTAACTTGACTTTGCTCTATAGTAAGACAATTTTGCATTATAGCTGCAATGGTAACTGTATATAGTGGAATTAAGGTTTTCAGTTCTTTATTTGTATGGAAATGTGTCCAAACAGATCAAATCTAGTGTTAGATATCTGTCTCCACCAGGCATAAAGTTTTCTTCTTGTTTTAAAAAAATGCGAAGTATGCATATTTGTTCGCATTATTTGAATATCAGAAATATCTGGATAATAATATATATATCCAAAATATCCGAATAATGCGAATGTCCGAAAATCTAAATAATGCAAATATCGAATAATATCAATAGTCATGTTATCCGGATAATACGAGTACTGAATAACCGTGTTGTTATTATCCGAAATTTAATATCCAGATAATTTTTTACCTTAGATAATTATTTGGATGTTCGAATATCCAGATACCACGAATATTCGAAACTAGATTTAATTCTTAGTTTCAACCCCTAAATCTTAACAAGAGCCCATATAAAAAAATATAAGTCTCTTATTTTGAGATTTTCTACAACATATCCAACATCCATCACAATCGGTGAAAGATAATTCTGACGGTTTCCTTATAAGTTCAATTTTTTTTATTATTTATGTAATAATTGTTTATGTAACAGCTAATGTAGTTCAAGTGGACAAAATTAGTGGACCATTCTGGGTGTGTATGTGTATGTGTGTGTTGTGTGTGTGTGTGTGTGTAATATATATATATATGTATATATTTATGTATATACGTAATACATATTGTACATACATACATACACATATATTATTTATATATTTATATAACATTATATAAATATATAAATGTGTGGGTGTGTGCATGCATATATATATACAGGGTGTCCCAAAAGTAACGGACCACCCTAATAACTCTTCAGTATTGAAGTTTCAAGAAAAATGATCTGAATAAAAGTTATAGGAATTTAAATGAGCTATCTTATGTATCTATCATTAAATGAGTAGGAATTTAAATGAGCTATCTTATGATGACTTTGATTTTGACCTTGATCTCTATTTTCAAAATCATTTGAAGGTCACTTGCGTTTATTAAACGGGATTCCTTATTTTTTATTACACTGTTTTTTTCTACTAGTTAATTTGAACAACTTTTGTCTAAAACATTTCTTTATTTGTCTAATATTTTTTTAGATATTTGAGGAAAACTTGATAACTTTTTCAATATTTAACTTACGATATCTCGCTAACTATTTGTTAATTTGATGATTTTGAAATTTCCAAAAGTCAGTAAGTTAACAAAAGTCAAGGCGCTATTATAACAATATATTCTTGAGACTAAATAAAGCAAGAAAGTCTAGTACCAGTTTTTCTTCCGACAAATAGTTAGCGAGATATCGTAAATTAAATATTGAAAGTTATCAAGTTTTCCTCAAATATCTCAAAAAATATTAGACAAATAAAAAAAATGTTTTAGACAAAAGTTGTTCAAATTAACTAGTAGAAAAGAAGTGTAATAAAAAATAAGGATTCCTATTTAAAAAACGCAAATTGATCTTCAAATAACCTTGAAAATAGAGGTCAAGGTCAAATTGAAGGTCATCATAAAGTATTTCACTTAAATTCCCTACTAAGTATTTCCCTACAATTTTTATTTAGATAATTTTCCTTGAAACTTCAATACTGAAGAGTTATTAGGGTGGTTACTTTTGGGACACCCTATATATATATATATATACGCATATACACATTTGTGTATATAGTATATATATATGTATGTATATATATGTATATATATAAATATATATTTTTTTTATTTATATATGTATTCATCATGTCATCCTCATATTGTAATGAAGATGCGAAAAAGTGTCTCCCCTTGTGAGTGTATCGCAAATATAGTAAATTATTCGTTGATTCAAACTTTCGTGTGTTTCTTCTCTTCTTCTAAACAGCCTACGTACAGATTGTCAATCGAGATTTTACTAAATCCGAAATACTAGTTAAAGATACTTGTATTAATACATGTTAACAATCTGATATCGTAATTGGCTAAACTAATCTGGAACGATCATCTTCCTCCTGGCGAAGTTATTACCCAAGAGTTGTTTGATTTTGCTGCTGATATCACCGCTAAGTCCGCGATTATCGTTTATGTCAGGGTACCATCACCGTTGCCAGAGAAGGGAATATCTCGGCTTGCAGCGGTCCATAATCAACTTCTTCGCCGTCCACAGTAATGTGACCACTTGTTCCTTCCATGGGTTCAATTCGGAATGCTTTAACTGGTATCATATCGACTCCAGCACACATCACATGAGTTCCACTACTTAGACCTAACAGAAACTAATAAATGTGTGCGTTGAGTACGTTGTAATAGTTCTTTTTCTCTGTCTGAGAGTCTCTATGCTAATTTGAAACATAGCTTACGTGCAATAAGTTGGCTCGGGTGATGCCGGCTTTGACTATTAAAAGCCAGATAATTCCATCCGCCAATCTAGCGCGCGGTGCGAAAAAATAATCCTGCCCAAGATGTGATTGATAGGCCGCATGCACCATCACAAATTCCCCTGAAATGGCAAGCGTACGCTTTCACTCGACTGTCTCATCGATCGTCATTATATCGGTATGAAATTCATTCAATCGATTCCTTGCTCGTTGCAACAAATAATACGGCAATTATGAGCCTCATCTTTTCGATACATCGCATTTTTTCAAAGCATCGTGTTGTAATTGCAATATGTATCGCGTTGTATTATAAACACTCTTTTTTTTCTTTTCAATCATGGTCCCTGGTATTCGGTATTTCATTAAGTATTTTATTAAGCACGTGATACTACTTCGAATTCAACTGGAGTTAAAGGGTTAATCAATGTTGCGCTGCAGCCTTTGTGCCGTATTATATGACAATTACAACTACGTGTGATATTTTCTAATTCCCCGCGCGAATGACGTTTGTGAATTATAAATGCAAAAATATGAGACTTTGATCTTTCGCTCGCGTATCATCTAGTCCGGAATTATTGAATTAAACATGTCATGAAGACAAAAAATATGCAAAAGAAAAATTTTATTAAAACGTTATACAGTTTGATTGACATTTAGATTGTTTCAGTACGTCTGGTACATGCATATTTATGTATTTTTACGCACGTGTGTATGTGTGCATGTGTGCATATGCGTTAAATTTCAAACGTAAAAATCCTTGCACAATGCCAGACAACAATAGGAACAACTAATAAAAATATGAAATAAGAAATTATCGTCACAGATGCACAATAATGCTATGGTGATAAAAACTATCCAATCAGAACGTTCAAATTGTGTCCACTGTTTCGTAATATTCATAGTTGATTTAAACAAACATAACCCAAAAGTAACTTGGTTCTAAGTTCTTGTGTATTTTGAACTCATGCTGTAAATTAAATATTTACATATTTTAAAGCTTTTCGTCGTGTATGTGAACGAAGTTAATCAGTAATACATAAAAAATATATATACACTGTATATAGTTTCATTAGTATAATAATAATTTCATTGACATCCTTCATATTAGGTGAAGACAAAAATATAATGCTATTTCTCCGTGCAATGCAAGTAGCTAGCCTATTGTATACTGCAGTTTACAAATTTAATTTTAACATTCGGACGCTGTGATTGGTTGGCAACAAGCAGGAACAGAATATCCAACGTAACAGAAATTCTATGTCTATTATTTATGCCATAGTTCATCCTGCACTGATGGTTTCTGGTATGTTGAAATTCCCATTATTCCTTATTTTTATTCTCTACTGCCTGTTGTCTAGTATTATGCAAGGACCTTAACAGGTCATATATTTAGAAAACTATATGTTATCGAAGTTCGCATTTTAAATAATATTGTTTTGAATAAGGCACATTTTGATTTAAAAAATTTGATTTTGAATAAAAGAAAGTAAAATAAAAGAAAATAAAATAAAGGTCAAATTATTTATTTTTATTTTTTTAATAGAACTCTGAATTTTTGAACACTTACGTTCATAGCTCTTGTCAGGATCAATTCAATCCTCAAAATGATTAGAGGTTAAATAACGGAAAAAAGTCTCAGATAAAAAAAATAACCTAACCCAGATCATTTGGTCTGGTCTGCCTATTATTTTTAGGTTATTATTTTTAGAGCAGAATCCGAAAAATTGTTTATATGAACTGCCAACTACCTCCAACTACTAGGGAAAATATGATGCAACAAATACGCGAAGCGTTCCTGGCGGAAATATTTCTACAAGAAACTACAGGAAACTGCGTGAATTGGAACACTTTCAGAGAAAGTAAGAGATCATTTCAGACTCTGTAAGAAATTCTGTAAAAAATTCGAAAAACTGCGTTTCTATGAAATTCTTTATTCATTGCCTGAGTAATTATGCAACTTCTTTCTTTTCTCTAAACATTTACCTTGAAATATTGAAATGTTCCTAGAAATAAAAAATGAAGAGTGGTAAATATGGAGAAAAGGGACCACCCTTCCAATGTCAATAATTTTCATATTTGTCATCAAGGTCATTACCCCCATTAATGTTATGAAGATTAACATATTGTTATAAACAATAAGCGCAAGCTATAATATAAGATTGTAGAAATATATAATATAAGATTATAGCTTGCGCTTATTGTTTATAACAATATGTTAATCTTCATAACATTAATGGAGGTAATGACCTTGATGACAAATATGAAAATTATTGACATTGAAAGGGTGGTCCCTTTTCTCCATATTTACCACTCTTCATTTTTTATTTCTAGGAACATTTCAGTATTTCAAGGTAAATGTTAGAGAAAAGAAAGAAATTGCATAATTACTCAGGCAATGAATAAAGAATTTCATACAAACGCAGTTTTTCGAATTCTTATAGAGTCTGAAATGATTTCTCACTTTCTTTGAAAATATTCCAAATCACGCAGTTTCTTGTATTGTTATATATAATAATTTCTTGTAGAAATATTTTCGCCAGGGGTGTCAAATAATTTTAACGAGCAAATTATAAATAATGCTTAACGATTTTTAACAAAGATTGCAAGTTTATATAGATGCAAGGGAATAACATTTTAAACATTCAAATTAACAGAATTTTTCATTTCAAAGAGAAAAACGCTTCTTTTGTTCCAAAGCTTTCTGTTCTTATTTTAAAGATTGATTCATAAAGTTTATTTCTTCTTTGCTTTATTAAAGCATTATTCTTCTTTTGTTTTTGAATTTTTTCTTTTATTTGACCTTTAATTACCTTGGGTATATGATCATTAAATTTGTTGTTATAAGGACTAAAAACGTAATGTGTTCAAAAAATTAGAGACCCACTTAAAAAAATAGTTCGGTCTTTATTTTACCCTTGATGCTCCCACCCAAAATCTTTTTTCGGTAGCTTTTAATTTTCGATATTTAATTTTATATTTAATATTCAGCGCCTTATATATATATATATACACATGCGTACAGATAAAAATTAACACTCTATATATATATATACTACTATGATCAAAAAATAAGGTGAATTTGTTTATAAAATGAAAAATCTTTATTTATTCTTCCAAATCAATTTCATCGACTTCAAAGTACTCCCCGTCCAACACAATGCACTTATGCCAAGATTTTTCCAATCCTTGAAACAGTCAGAAAAGTCTTTTTCCGGAATGGCCTTCAATACTTTCTTCGATTCGGCTTTTATCTCCTCAATCGAGTCGAAACGGTGTCCCCGGAGCGGTCTTTTGAGTTTGTTGAACAGCCAGAAGTCGCACGGTGCTAAATCAGGCGAATACGGTGGTTGTGGAACGATATGGGTCGAATTTTTGGCGAAATGTTCTCGAAGAACCAATGCAATGTGGGACGGTGCATTATCGTGGTGCAAAAACCAAGAATTGCCAATAATTCTGGCCTCTTGAGGCGAATAGCTTCACGCAAACGACGCATAACACTCAAATAATATTCCTTGTTAACAATTTGATTTCCTTGACGTGGCTTTCATTGGTAGATGTTGATGGTCGTCCGGGGCGCTATTCGTCTTGAACTCGTTCTCAACCTTCTTTGAAGTCTTTGTACCACTTGTAAACATTTTTTTGCGACATAGCCTTATCACCAAAGGCTTTCTGCAACATCCTCAACATTTCTGCGGCAGAATATTCATCCGCAAACAAAATTTAATGCAAATTCTTTGCTCAACAAAATCAGACATAGTAAAAATCGAGAAACTCACTTTTGTATGTTTACAAAAACACGTATAGTTCTGCAGCAATTGAATATATTGACATGAAATTCTGTATAGATGTCAAAGACAGTGCTACCAACCCACAAAAAAATAATTTCATGATTTTAAAGTACCCGCGAAATTTAAATGAAAAATTCACCTTATTTTTTTATCACAGTAGTATATATATATAGGGTGTTAATTTTTTATCTGTACGCATGTGTATAGTTTTGTTCTATCAATTCTCTTACCTTGAATTTGCGTCCAACAATTCGAAAGTTGTGTGGTTAGCGCCGGAAGAGTAGACGACGGCCCGTACATAATTTGGCTGTTACAAATGTTCTCGGCGCCTTGGCAAGACAATGGATTCATTAATATGAGCGATTATTAATTCAATAGACGTGTGTACGATTAATACCATACCAATCTCCGCGCTATCGTTGTCGTCGACGCTATGATAGCTTGAGACCGAGCCCGTGCTGAAGTAAGTCGACTTCGCCGACGTCGCAGAATAAAAGCTGTCTAGTCTGTGTCTTTTCTCGGTTTCTGTTTCGAGCGTCAAGCTCTCGGTGATTATTTCATTATCGACACAATCATTCAAATCGTTGATGGACTCACTGAAAGCCGTGTGGAAGCTCTTCGGTTCACCTCCACCATATCTATGCACATATTGCGTACATATTTAATATTTTGTTTGCTAAGTTACACAAAAATACAAAATTCCTCCATTATTCATTAGTCGAAAAAAGAAGTTTACATACAGCCTTTTTCATATTATTTGTCCTTGGATAAGTGCTCAATACAAAATCTACATACATGAATAGTCACCACTATCAATATTAAGTAGACTATCGATAAATTATGCATCGATTAGATATACAAATACGTAAGCAAAATGTCAATGTACATTGCATTCTCGTGCATATGATAACGTGCAACGTGTCTTTTATATCTAAAATTATAAGTTTCAGGCATTTCATCGTACATTAAATTTCTGTAATTGAATAAAAACGCGATCGGATAAAATATTCTTGACATCAGCAAAATTGTTAAGCTTTATTAATCCTTTCATTCCTAGAGCCGACTTTAGTCGACGTTCGATATTTTGTACCGATTACGTCTGTAATAATTATTTTAATTAATATAGTAAACACGATAAAAGACAAAAAATCAGAGACCAATGTGAAGATTGTAATGTAAGTTTATATGTTACTCTTTGCATTAAAATATTTCTATCATATGAAATTATATTACTAAGAGTACATTAATTATTATAGACTGTTCCTATTGATGTTAATAAATGTGTGATTTAAAGAAATATATAATTAGACAATATATAAAGATTAATATATGAAGAAATATATAAAAATTATAAAAATAATATATAAAGAATATATAAAACTTAGATTAATATATAAAGAAAATATACAAAGTGTCCCATTTTTATGATTTTAAATGAGCCAGTCAAAAATTTCGAAAAATATGAGACACTAAAAAATATTCAAAGGGATAAAATAACTATATCATCTCGTTTATAGATGGCGTCACTTTCGAGATATTCACTGATTATTACTTTTCCTAAATGGAAATCCCAATTTTTTATTATATAATCTTTTTCTACTAATTAATTTTAACTTTTGTTTGAAATATTTTTTTATTTGTCTGATGTTTTTTGAGATATTTAAAAAAAACTCAATAATTTTTTCAATATTTAACTTATAATATCTCACCAACTATTTGTCAGAAGAAAATATCGTACTAGACTTTTTTACTCTATTTGGTCTCAAGAATATATTGTCATAATAGCGCCCTGACTTTTATTAATTTGATGATTTAAAAATTTCCAAAGGTCTATAAGTTGACAAAAGTTAGGGCACTATTATAACAATATATTCTTGAGACTAAATAGAGTAAAAGAGACTAGTAGTATTTTTTCTTTCGACAAATAGCGAGATATTGTAAGTTGGATGTTGAAAAAATTACTAAATTTTTCTTAAATATTTTGAGAAATATTAGGCAAATAAAAAAAATATTTCAGATAAAAGTTGTTCAAATTAATTGGTAGAAAAAGATAATGTAATAAAAACTGGAATTTCCATTTAAGAAAAGTAATAATCGGTGAATATTGTTGTGCCCGCGCGTGAAAGAAATAACTCGGGATAAACTAAACGAGAATAGCTTTATTTACAGCCAAGAAAAACGGATCTTAATCAATCTCAAAATAATCGCACGAATTCGCTTTACGTCCGTACGCTGTGACAGGACTAGAGCGACTCTCTTATTATTCCAGTTGTTAGTAAACAAATTCCTTGACAACGATAACAGCTGTCAAACACTCTCTATATGCCTTCTTCACAGTCTTCTCCCAAGAGCGTGGGAACAATACGTTCCCCAAAGGTGTGGGCACAACAATATCTCAAAAATGGCACCATTTATAACTAAAATGATATAGTTGTTTTATGTTCCTTTTGAAACCATACAACTTTTGTCTGAAATGTTTCTCAGTATCTTTCATATTTTTCGAAATTTTTGCTCATTTAAAATAGGACACCTTGTCTGATAATTAGACGATTATCTTCATTTAGATATTATTTTTAATTAATCAACCTAAATTACTCTATAAGATTAAATATATTTCACTCTGTCTATGAAGTAAGCACTCCCGGTACCGTACGGAACCCGCCGTACGGCGGAAACCTACTCGTGGACACATACCCCGTGAAGAAAGGGTTAAATCGGATCAACAAGATTGACATCAGTGTGAACTACATACGATAGATTCAATAAATTCTTCGTTGTACTGCGAGACAGTACACACATAATCGTGACTATCGACTTATTATTACGAAAAAATCTGCCGAGTACATCTATTAACTCTTTGAAGCGCAGCGGGACTCTGGAGTCCCGCCTTCTTTGTTTTATTTTATTACGTTTTTCAGGTATAGAAAACTCAATTTTCTTGCTGTTTTCTATGTTTTCATTCGAATATTATGTTATTAACTATGTTGTAATGTGTAATTTTCATAAATTGTTTATGAAATTGTTTATATAAGTAGTTAAATGCAAAAAAAGTGTTTTTTGTATTGTACAATACAAAAAATTCGTGTCAGAGAGAACAATTACAGCTATATGGATGACAATTGATACTATGAGGTTTTCGAGATCACCGATTACGAATCCGAGGGCAGAAATTCGGAATTCAAAATGGCGAATCCAATATAGTAGACAAAAATATTTAAAATCCTTCGATTTCGACAGAAATAGGTACATAGAGGCTTTTCGAGTCGCTGATTACGAATTTTTTATTAGATTTCCGAAATTCAAAACGGCGGATTCAATATGGTGGACAAAAATGTTAAAAATCCTTCAATTTCGACAGAAATAGGTATATGGAGGTTTTATGAGTCGCTGATCACGAATTTGTTATCAGATTTCCAAAATTAAAATCCATATCATATAAAAGTTAGTCATTTGAAGTCGCTATATTGGATCCGCCATTTTGAATTTTTTTATTTCGATTCTGTATTTGTCATCTATGATCGAAAAAACATATATATACCAAGTTTGATACATATCTAAAATATCATATCAAAGTTAACCATTTACCAAGATAAGGCAGTGTCCTGGTTTAGAAGGTCAAGAAATCGATTTTTTTGCTTAAATCGATAGTTTAACTATTGAAAAATCTGTTCCCAAAGTTTTAAAGACTGTTGGGACGTATTACGAAAGTTATAGAGCCGAGAGCAGATAAGCGTGGCGCAGCTAGAAAAATGCTTAATCGAAGCGGGCCGCTCTCCCTATTTTATAGTTTTTTTTTATAATGCTTAGCAAAGATTCAAAATAGTTTATATAACAATATTTTGGTTGAAAAGGACGACTGACAGACGTATTTATTAAAAGATTAACAAACTATTACGGCTTAGCTATAAGAAAAAATATGGATTCCGTTGTTAGTATGAAAATTAGTATGAAAAAGCAATAATGGCAACATTAGATCATTATTGCTCAACGGATACGCAACCAAGGCATGCAAACTATTCTGAAGGAGCCGACAGTTGGTGTGAGTGGCGTCAAGCCGAAGCCACAGATCAATTACAATCTTTTAAGCATCCGCCACCAGTTATTCATCCGGATGTTGGAAAATATATCACGCCTATCTGTAAGGATCTTTGCAAGGACGATCTGTTGTTAAGATGTTTGGGCGGGCACACACAGAATTCTACCGAGAGATTTAACTCTACTGTGTGGCGCATCGCTCCAAGACATCTTAATTCGGGCGCTAAAATCGTAGAATTGGCTGCTTACATTGCTGCAGGCATTTTTAACGAAGGTTACATAGCTATTTTAACTATGATGAATTTGCTGGAACTCAATATTGGCCAACAGTGTAAGTATTTTCGTTAATCTATACGACGCGCGCCGAATTACACGAGAAGGTCAGCGCCAACGAAGCAGCAGCAAGGAAGTTCGTATAGCACGTATTGGGTGAGTGCAAAAGTTCGTGCGGAGTTTGTGAGTAAAAGTCACACACTGATTAGGCAAACAAAAATCTTTATTCAATCAATGATATATTCTCCATCGTTTTCTATAATCTTTTCCCAACGTTCTGGCAGCATACGGATGCCTCGATCATAAAAACTGCGCGGTTTAGATTCGAAGAACGAAGAGACGCCGTTTTTTAAGGCCTCCAAAGAGTCAAAGTTTTTTCCATTTAAATAATTTTGCAATGACCGGAACAAGTGATAGTCAGATAGTGCGATATCAGGAGAATACGGTGGATGCGTTAAGACATCCCATTTCAGGCTCTTCAGTTTGCGCAGCATCTTTTTCGAAACGTGTGGTCTGGCGTTCTCGTGATGAAAGACGACTCCCTTGCGATTTGACAAAATCGGACGTTTCTCTTTTATTTCTCGATTCAGATTGGTTAATTGGCGACAGTACTTGTCCGAATCAATCGTTTCGCCAGCGGGGAGAAGCTCGAAATAGATTATGCCCTTGCAATCCCACCAAACAGAGAGCATCACCTTCATCGGGTGCAAACTGGCCTTTGGCATTGCGTCACCATGCTCACCTGATTGTTTCCATGTCCGTTTGCGCTGAACATTGTTGTAGAAGACCCATTTCTCATCACCCGTCACTAGTCGATCCAAAAACGACTTGTTATTGAGCCGCCCGAGTAAAGAAACGGCTGCAGAAATTCGCTTGATTTTGTTCTTCTCGGTCAGCAAATGGGGCACCCATATATCGAGCTTCAAATCGAATCCCATCTTTTTTAAACGCCGAAAAGCGGTTGATCGGTCAACGTTTAGTGAGTAGTAGCAACTTCTTCTGTTGAAATTCGCGGATTATTGAGCACTAAAGTACGCAAAACATCGTCATCAATGTCAGAAGGTCGTCCAGAGCGTGGCTCGTCTTCAAGGTTAAATTCTCCGCGCCGAAATTTAGCAAACCATTTTTCCACAGTTCGTTTAGCTGGTGCTTCATCCTGATAAACATCCTGAATGTTTTTTACGGCTGCGGCAACGTTTATTCCCTTCCGAAACTCGTAAAGCATAACATGCCGTAAATGCACCTTATCGATACTCATTTTTAAAGTGATATTTCTCGAAGCAGTTTGTATGAAAACAAATGATTTTTTTTTTAATAACAGCTGAAGACGTCACCTTTCCAACGTTATATAATATGTAGATGGAAGTATTAATGACAACACTTTACGACGCTTATAACTCCATCTATTGAAACTCCGCACGAACTTTTGCACTCACCCAATACAATGCAAGAAATGCAAGAACAAGATTTTTTTGAACAAGCTGAAAAACTCTTGTATGGACCTGGAATAGCTGATTAAGATTAGATTGTTGTAAGTAACGAATAAATGATATTGTTTTCTAGCGAAAACTTTAACTCGCGTTTTCTCGAAATAGTAGTTTTGTGATTTTACTAAATTGGCGAGCAAGTTAGCAAAAAAACTATTTGACCTATCGACCCAAACCAAAGTTTATTCTCTAGAGTATTGTTAATCATCCTAAATTAACTAAAAAGAACGGTCAAAACTTAATTTAAACAATTTCTGTTGCATAGAAAACGCAAAATTTTTCTTTTAAAATTGTTACTTTTTCGCTTAAGTTCAGGGTTTTTCAATTGGTGCGGGTCGATGTTGGCAGCCTGTGGCAGCCATGTTGTTTTGGCGGCGTCTGTCTAACCTGTTGTTTATTATTCAGTCACTGATGCCAAATCACCATGACAAGTTACACGATTGAGCAGCACGTCCAAATGATAAAACTTTATTATCAAAATGAGTGTTCGTTAGTGCAAACGTTGCGCACGTTGCGCCCATTTTACGGCAGACGCGGTGGCCCTTCAAAGTCGACTCTCCAACGTTTGGTAGCCAAATTCAAGACGACCGGTTCGGTAAACGATCAACCAACACCTGTACGTCAAAGGAACGCCAGATCGGCCGAGAACATCGCCGCTGTAAGTGAAAGTGTGCAGGAGAATCCGAGTCAGTCAATTCCTCGCCGTGCACAAGAACTCGGCCTTTCGCAGACTTCAACTTGGCGAATTTTGCGTCGGGACTTGGGCCTGCACCCGTACAAGATCCAACTGGCCCAGGAGCTCAAAGTTAATGACCATAGACAACGCCGTTTGTTCGCTGACTGGGCTTCGGAGCATTTAGAAGAGGACCCCAATTTTGGCCAAAAAATCATCTTTAGCGACGAGGCGCATTTTTGGATGAATGGCTATGTTAACAAGCATAATTGCCGTATATGGCACGACGCCAACCCACATGAGGTTCAACAGGTAGCAATGCATCCACAAAAAGTTACTGTTTGGTGCGGATTTTGGGCCGGCGGCGTCATTGGTCCGTACTTTTTCGAAAACGACGTTGGTGAGGCCATCACCGTCAATGGCGAGCGCTACAGAACGATGATAACCAATTTCTTTTGGCCCAAATTGAACGATATGGACGTGGACGACATGTGGTTCCAGCAGGACGGCGCTACGTGCTACACAGCGGACGCCACGATGGACATTCTGCATGAACGATTTGAGGGTATGGTTATCTCTCGCAGAGGTGACGTGAATTGACCACCAAGATCGTGCGATTTGACCCCGCTAGACATTTTCTTATGGGGTTCTCTGAAGTCGCAGGTCTATGCCAATAAGCCGCAATCGACCGATGCCCTTAAAGTCAACATAACCCAGGCCATCGCTCAAATTCAGCCAGATCTATGCGGCAAAATCATTGAAAATTGGACCACTCGGATCCGTGCCACCGTGAGAAGCCGCGGCGGACATTTGAACGATGTTATATTCCACACATAATGGCATACATGGGCCTTTCAAATAAAAAAAGAATTTCGTTAATACCTCACACACAGCTTGTTTTATTCCATTGCAACAACGACCCGCCTTTATTGAAAAACCCTTTACATTTGTATGATTTTATGCTTTTTTCTTAGTTTTTTTAGTTCATCGACTATAAAAATACATGTAAATTAAAAATATTTTTGGTTTTTTTGTTTTAAACAAAAATTACGAGCTTCATTTGTTCCGCCAATCGGAGCGAGGCGTTTTGATTGTCACGTAACAACTCCGCCCCATTTTTAAATAATTTGACAATGAAAAATTTTTTTATATTGCTAAAATGTATATTAATATGTAACTAAACGTTTACGGAAATTGATTATTTCATTCTCTTTGAAAAAATTCCCGAAAATCACCGATTTTTTCGCCTTCTAAACCAGGACAATGCTTTAAATTCGCCATATTGAATCCGCCATTTTGAATTTTAAAATTTTGACTCAAGATTTGTACTCAGCGACCCAGAAAACTCTCTATATACGTAATCAGTTTCTTTTATTATTGCACAGAAAAATTCGTGCTTCAAAGTATTAATATTCTTATAACTCGAATATTCCCGTACTGCATATTTCTGTACCCAGGTATTGGTAGTGTCACGTCGTGAAGGTGATGTCTATGTTATAGAATTTGTCCTTTTTGAAGTCAAAGGATTTAACCAATTTACTTCGGGATAGACGAGTGTTTGTGAGTATAAATTAGTGTTGAAAAGAGAAAGAGAATGGAAAAAGTAAAATAAAGTGATTTAAGGGAAGAATTTAAGAAACCTACTTTAGGACACTGTTTTTTAGATGTTTTTTAGATGTTCGGGAATTTTTTTACAAAATACCATTCATCCGATTTTATTCAAACTTTAATGCATGTTTAGATCCTTCCTTAAACTTATAGAAAATTATTTTTTTATTACAAAATTATAAAGTTTAACCATCTTTAGTTATTACTGAGTGTGTTGCCGCGCGTCCGCTCTTGTTTCATTGTGTACACTCTCACACTTGTAAAACTGATCTGAAACAGATAAGACAAGAAAAATTTTAATTTGTATACTTTCTTATCCTAAATAAACTAAGAAAATCAAAGAAATATGCAAAAATGTAGATTCTGTGCAACTTTAAAGTCAAGGTATCGATTTTTACGCTAAAATTTTAGCTTTTTTATGCAAAAAAATATTGTTTAAATAAGTATTTTCTCAATTTTTTTAGTTCATCGACGATGGTTAGGTATTAGCTAACTAAATTTTCTTGAGCGAAGTCAATTGGTCAAATAGTTTTTTCTCTATCGTGTACACAAATTTAGAAAAACACGTTTTCGGGAAAACACGTTTATAGTTTTAGGTGCAAAAAAATAATAGTTATTTGCAACTTACAGTTATCTGAGGCTAATCAGCTATTCCGGCGCCATATAGTAATCCCTCTTCTTGCTCGTAAAATTCATTTTGCTGCAAATGATAAGATCTACGCCTCTCTCGAGCCTCCTTGGTTGCGCTGTGTCGGTGACGCTCTTCCCTCGTGATGCGCCGCGAGTCATTAAAATAGGCGAAATTTTTACACTCCGGGCCAATATTAATATCTAACGCAGTCATAATTTTTAAAACTGATGTATAGCCTTCATTAAAAATGCCCGCAGCGATATAAGTAGCAATTTCTATTTTCCATGATCCATCTCCTGATATTTTGAATTGTGTTAATGGTCTTTGATTGTTGATGTTTTCTTGTTTTTCTTCTTCAATGGCTTTTAAACACAGAGAATTAAACACAGATTTCGTTGTTTCGTATAAGTGCTGCACTATGCAATTGTATGCATTTTCCGCTATTCCTTGCCCAATGTCCATGAGGCCAGTAAATAAATTAATACCTTGTCGGCTAACTCGTACTTAAAAGTCTCATCACGAGCACAATTCTTCTGTTTATTTCGTAGCCGGTATTAATCAAAGGTCCCGAATTTATTTCCGTACGACCACAAGCACACTTTACAATAAGCTTGAATCCGAAACCGCGGATGCTGCTTTCTTCAAATTTTATATTTTGCTTGCACTTACGACAAATAAGTAATTCCGCGAGCGCGTTAAAAACAGTAAAAAATTCCAAAAATCTGTATGTGTGTTGTGGATTATAAATCACATTGTCACTATTTGACGTACTCAGTTTTCTCACAGTAGCACTCGATTCGCCTTCTTCATTCCCTTGACTACTTCGCGTAAATCTATTTCCATAAAATTTTCTTTTCGATGGTCTCGACGACCGGTGTGTCTTTCCAATCTTTCCTTTTGGGTACATTTTAGAGAAACGTCTTTGCTAACTGAAGATCAGAGCTCTATTGAAAAGAAGCGCCTCGAATTTCAACATTATCTCTTCCCAAGCCCCTTTGTTATCTTTGGCAGCCATTTTGGCTATACTTATACATATATACATGTATTTATGTTTGGTAAACAAATTCTCACTAATATATATTTAGAAAACATCTGCCGAGCCGCTAATCGTTATCTGAGGATCAAGAGACGGAGACTAGACTCTCATCGCCGAGACTGTTGCCGTGCGCGTGAATATGTGCGTGACGCGCTCTCCTTTAAAGAGCTATATCTACATAACTTCGAATTTCGCTCTAAAATTCTAGCATTATATTTTCAAAGGATATTAGTATAGATTTATGAAAAAAAATGTAAAATTTTGACTTTGTAAAATAGGTTCTTCCCTTAAATTTCCTTAAGAAATTTACGAGTTTATGATGTACTCATATGCGTTATTTGTTATCGTCATACGGAGAGAAGATTATAGCTTTTTTTCATATAAATTCTTTTCAACTTTACTATTTGTTTTCTAATAATACAGGAATATAGATTGTTAATGGAATTTATTTTGCTATAAAACGTAATAAAATTTATCTTAATTTATTTTAAATATATCTAGTTCTGTTTGTCTTTGAATACCTACAACCGCGTATCTAATTACTTCAGAGAACATATCTGTTACAATACATTGAAACTCATAGCCGTACCTGTCCAGCTCGTCGCCATAACTCCGTGAATGCGACAGCGTGCTCTCCGTGGCGCAATCCTTGCGGCAGATCTTGCCGTTGCCAATGTTCTCCATCGACGGTACCCTGTTGCAAGGTATGTACGATATCTTGCCCTTGTACGTTCTCAATCCTATCAAACGCGCCACGCTCCACACGGTGAACCTTTGGCCTCCGATAGCACGCAGCCGCTCGCTCTCGATGTCGATGTCGGCTATAAGACCCCAGCCCACCGACAGAAACGAGAAGAGAATTTGATTCCTGGTTTCCACGCGTACCAGATCCATCGGCATTCTCTTACTCTTAACAGCTGATAGCGCGCTAATCAGCATGGGATTGCGGTCATATGGCTCCCTGAAACACCCTATTCTCTTTTCACGTGCACGAAAATGATCTTGCATGTATTGTCAGAACAAAGATAAAAAGGCGGGGCTTATTCGCTACTGGTCTTGTTTATCTCTAACCAGTGTTAGGGGCATTTATTTCCACGGAACCTCCTGCGAAACCTCATATACAGGATGTCTCAAAAAGCACGATTATTCTTTGGGGGTGTGAAAAAGAATGAAATTCTGAAGTTCCTCTTCCATTTTTTCTTCCAACCGTTAATAAGAAAGTTATTAACGAGGAAAGTCAACCAATCACACGCGCACGACTGTCGCGCAGTGCCGTATACTAGCGCGGGACGCCGCCCTATGCTAGTGCTGAAATTTGTCTTTATTTGATGATATCAAATACTTTATTTATCATCCACTTAATGAACTAATTGATTAATCATCATTTTTAATCAACGAAAGCATAAAAAATCGATTGAAAACAAGTTTAAAAATGGAAATTTAAATGTTATTTAAATTAAAAGGTATTTAATTTAAAATAAATAAAAAGGATCAATAATTTTTCAGCGGCCTGCATACCGTTGCACCGGCTCACCATACACAAGGTGCATGTCCGCGTACTCTACCACCGTATAAATCATCTCGAACTCAATCGTTTCAAAGATAATAAACGAATGAGTTCGCTAATATTAAAAAGTCGGGAAATATTTCACTTCTTTCTTTGTCTTCATAGTTCGTTATTTATGTTTTGAATCTCATTGCATCTAGAATTGAGGAACCGCTACTAAAGAGTATCTCGTGCAAGAAATAACAATTCTATCAGCCGTTTCTCAATCCGCGAGACATCGAAGATGAAAACGTAAACATGGAAAAAGCAAAACAAAAGGTAAAATGAGAATTTATTGTGATTAATACGTTGTAAAAGGGTACACGGAACATACATTATGTAGTTTCTGCGAACATTTTGAACCGACGCTCTAAAAAACCGGTCTTTTTCAAGACTATTGAAAAACCACTGGTTCTTTTCATTTAAAATAACATTTAATCAAATTTATATTTTTAAACTTGTTTTCAATCGTTTTTTATGTTTTTGTTGATTAAAAATAACGACTAATCAATTAGCCCATTAAATGGATGATAAATGAAGTATTTGATATCATCAGATGAAGACAAATTTCGATGCCAGCGTAGGGCGAAGTCCCGCGTCAGTGTACTGCGCGACAGTCGTACGCATCACGCCATTGGTCGACTTTTCTCGTTAACAATTTTGTTATTAATGGTCGAAGGAAAAAATGGAAAAGGAACTTTAGACTCAAAATTTCACTCTCTTTCGCATTCCCAAAGGATAATCGTTTTGAGATACCCTGTATATATATATAAGGAATTTAACATTTTTTTCTAATAAAAATTCATGTATTATCATTTCATAATTCATTTATTAATATATGTATGTAGAATGCGGTAACAAAATAAAAGCGTTTGACATATTTTCAATGTAACATCATTTCAATGTAGCAATGTAGGATTATATAAAAAAAAAGAAGGATGGAAAAAGATATGGTTAAGGCTCCACAAAAACCTTCAATATTGCATTTAGGCACGAATATGCTAAGCAACTATATGCGTGACGTAGATTGACGTATGCGCAATAGGTTCCGTGGGAATAAATGCCCCCAACACTGCCTCCGACCGTTTAACTCTTTATGTAGTACATTTTTTCTTTCTGTTTTTTTTATGAAATCTTGCATTTCTATATTTTTAAGTTGAGACTGATTACAAATTTGAAGTCAGATTTCAAAAATTCAAAATAGTAGATCCAATATGGTTGCCATACAGAGTAAATTAGTGTAAATTTGAATGTAATAACGTAAATTAGAATAAATATAAATCAGATGAAAAATATAAAGGTTTTTCAAATCGCTAATTACGAATTTCATGTTAGATTCACAAAATTCATTCAAATAATTTGTTTATAAAAAAATCTAGTAGAACAAAATTCTGGAAACAATATCTATTATATTTTAACATTTATAGAATTCAGTAAAATTTTCAACATCTAATCTTAAATACTTTCCAAGAAATTAAATTTGTTTTCAATCGCTTTTTTCGACTTTATTTGTTCATAAATAATTAACAATGATCGGATATAAAAGTCATGAGAAACATGCAAAGTAAGTATTAATATATAAAAAAATATGAGATCATATTTATTTTCATTATTTTATTAAACTGTAAACAGCACATCATAGAAATGATAGAGAAAAAAATAGTAAGTACTTATGACTGCCACATAAAGAGTTAATACGCGCGTGTTATAAATAATAATTTTAGATGAAATTGTGTTTATTTTGGCAGTACATGTACAATAGCTCATTAACTATGTTTGTGATATAACTAAACAAGTTTTTTTCCTTATTAGTTGAGTTTATTAGGTTTAGTGTAAGATACTTTTCGGACTCAATTAGATAAACTTTATGAAAATATGTTAATTATATATAAATTTTATCAATAGGAAGATAAAATGCATTTAATCAATTTTGCTATCACATAACATTTTTTTTGGAAATGAATTAAATTATATTTTCATGTCAATTTAAAGTTAAGTGTCTCACAAAGAGCGTTTGTGTTTTGTTTCCTAATTTACATATAGTTCTATATATCAAATTCATTCATACATATATGTATACACACACACGCACACACATACACAACACGCATGTGGGCTCTTTAATTTATGATAAAAAAGATTTAAACGCTAATGATCAGAGATCCCTGAGAAACTTCCTAAATGTTGTAAAGATCGTCTGTCATTTATTAAAACGTTTATTATTAACAAAAATTAAAAAATAAAAGAAAGAAAACCGTTTAGAAAATTACTAACTTTCAAGATGTGTTTCTTCCGGATGGATACCGCGTCTTAATTCAGCTTTGTGCCGACGTTTCGCAAACACTGCAGCTTGCATCATCAGGATTAGAAGCTCCGATATTGAGTCTTCCTGGTTTGTGGTTGTCCTTATATACTCTTCCATTCTTCTAAGTGGGGATTGAGGGAAATGAGGAACGGGATAAGAGAAATGTTTCGACCAATCATATTAATGATTGAATGCCGAATTACGACGCGGTATCCATCCGGAAGAAACACATCCTGATTGTATCAATAGCCGCGAAAGTCTAAGAACTAATTACTAACTTTATATGTTAACGATATTTTAGTAAGCAAAATGATTCAAGAACATAATCTTAATAATATATATCAGTCAAATCTTATAATATATATCAATCTTAATAATATATATCAGTCAAAAGGACAATCATTCGACTCGACTAGATATTTCTAAATATTTACCATATGATATGATATATTATACAAGATATCTCGTTCATGTATATCATAAAAATATCGCATAAAATCTTTTAGTATAACTTTCTTTTCATATTAACCGAGGTATTGCGAGGTGGATTTTGAATAATTTCTCTGACCAAGCATTACGGTCTACGCGCCACGTTCTCGGTTATTCGCTCAAGCACAGGACCGCAAATTTGCCTACTTACGTCACTACCAGAAGCCAACTTCCAGCCCTCATCTGATAGAAAAATCACATTATTCATTGAAACAAAATTAATTAACGTATATGTGCTACAGAATTATGTAGTACATTAATAAACTCTGACATAGAGAATAAATTTTGTGTTTACATTATTTTATTTGTTGGAACAGAATAATGAAAACATATTTGAACATGTGAATAATAGCGTCTGAATAACAAAATTATTCAAATTCTGGTTTGTAATATTTATCGGTTAATATCAAAAAGATACAAAACTTTTCCACTCAGTTCTTTCATGTAAAATATATGATCTTTTTTATAACATGAGCAGGACACTTTGTACGTGTTATATTAAATTGATAAAATGCCAAATTAGCTAATTAATCAGCATCGTAGTGAATACGATGATATAAAAGTCAGATATCATAGATATGTAAAACAGCGTAAAAATCTTAACATAAAATTATACTATTTAAAAATTTCCCATTTACAAAAAGACTTCATGACTTAAAATTTAATACGTAAATACATCTAAATAAACTTATCGCATAAAACAACTACAGGATGCACGATTTATCTGAAGACATTGAAATATCTCGAGAACTATGCATTGGATAAAAAAAAGTGGTTAATGAAAGTTGTTAGTCTCGAAGGGGGACATCCAATGATACCAAACTCGACCTCCCACCCCACCCCCTGGGGGTGGGGGTTGGGGGCAACTTTGAAATCTTAAATGGAAACCCCCATTTTTTATTGCAGATACGGATTCTACGCCACAAAATACGTAAATTTTGTCCGAAACTTCTTTTTTGATTCGTGATAGATGGCGCTGTAATCGCAAAAAATTATATTTTCCGCAATTCTCCAGAAATGATCATTGGATTGAGAAATAAAAAATACCTGTTCAATATTTTTAAAGAACATAATAAAAGTTATTCCCCCCCCCCATTCTCTCGGGGTAGGGTAGGTGATAACGTTCAAATCTCAAATGGGGACCCACATTTTTCATTGCAGAATTAGATTGTACGTGAAATTTTTATTGAAACAATTTTTTTCATTCGTGATAGATAGCGTTGAATTTTTCCGAGAAACTACTTTTAGCATTACACAGGAACAACGACGTGGACGTAGTAGTTTTATGTTCCCTTCGGGTGCTTTTTTAATGTGAGTCCCCTTGCCTCTCACAGATCGGGGTACTTTTTTAATGTGAGTCCCTTTGCCTCTCACTGTTCAATTAATTAGAGTAAGTGTTCGAAATTTTTACCTTCAACTTCAATACACTTATTGATCCTTTTTTCAAATGACTGTACACAGGATAGAAGCATATCTGCGGGAGTTTCAGCGCAAGCGTTTCTTATGCGTTCTACCATGTTTTCACGAGTTGTTGGCACTTGTTGATAAACCTTATCTTTTAGGTAACCCCACAGAAAGAAATCCGGCGATGTCAAATCAGGCGACCTAGCAGGCCAATTAA